TCATGTAAAGTTTTGACTGTGATTTCTAATTCTGTATACATATGCCATGGAAGCTTTGTACATAGGTAACCAATATTCCTGTAGCCTTCTGATTCTTCTCCTGGAAATACAATACAATTCTGTTCAGGTTTTGGTTGTTGTTTTTTTTTTGTGGTGGACTTTGGTGGGGTTTTTTTTTTTCCTTTCTTCTCCCCTCCCCCCAGTTCCAGGCTATTGCTGCAAACATTTAGTGCTTGCAGTCGTATCTCATTTCTACCCTCCAATTTTACCAGATGGCAAATATACACGAGGGGAGAAAGTATCAAATACTCAACTTCATGCCCCGCCTTCCAAAAAAAGTGTTACAAGCTAGGTGGGAAATAAGAAAATTAAATAAGTATTAAGTTCACATACACAAATCTACAAGGCCACTACTGTCCAAAGATGAGGAAAAGCTTAGAACTAGCCTGTTATACAACATTCAGTTGTTTGCACAAAACTGCTGTTCTGCATTCTGGAAATAATTTAAAAGTAGCCTTTGTCAAGCTGTTTGCACATCTGTCTAATTTTAGAAGCTTTAAGGACATTCTTGTGTTTAATACAAGAATACAAATGGATTGCCAATCTAGAGTCTCTTTGGAATCTAAGTCAGTTATTGTCAAACTCAACCTACAATGTTTGATTTAAGATCACTGGCATGTTCTTATGAAGCTACTTAATATATCACTCTCAGTTACACACTGCCCCCCAGAAAAGTGCTTTTCTTCACTTTTCATGCTTCCCTTTTTTCTGAAGAAAACCAAATAAACAGTGGCTACGATGTTTTGTTGCAATTTACAAAATAAAAATATGAATTGCCAACAGAAGTTTTCTGATACTGTAAGAGATTTCATATTGAAGCTGCACATGGACATACCGGCATATCTTGCACGGCTTAGTGTTCACTTCAGTATAAAGCGTAATATTTAAACAGAGAAATCAATACTGTACTCTACGAATCAGTGAGGCTTCTATTTTTACATAATACTTTATTCAAAGAATCTGGTTTTACTTAATTCTATTATCACACTTGCTTTAAGTCTTCTTACAACTTCAGCTCAGCTGTTCTTGAGTTTTCTAGAACAAACCTCTCTTCACCACTGGTGCTGGCAGCACAGATCTCCAATTATAATCCCAGTAGAGCTTTTCATCTTGTGTTCCACGCAGCAACACTCAAATGTTGGTGTACCTCATTAGGAAAGCAGACCTCAACAACTGGGAGCTTCTGGCTTATCTCAAAGTGAGAAGAAAATCTGCTCTCCCTCATTTCCTCTCCAATACACTGGAAGAGTGACTCCTACATTATTTCCACAAAGCAGCAGGTGAAAAACTTGACTAAACTTCCTTTCTGGCAACATAACCTTGCCGTAGGATAGGCCTTACTACATTGCAAAATGCCATTCCTATAGGTTACAAAAATACATGCATATAAAATCACTGCAGTTGTTTATACTTGCTTACGATTACTTAAGAATATTTTAATTAAGCCTATCAAATACAGGTAAATGAAGCACTACTGTAATTAGTACAAAAGTTACTTAAACCAGCTTCCATTTGTTTGAAAGAAAGTAGTTTTAAAGCAAATGGAAATCAACTGACAGAAGTCTGCTCCCATAATACCATCTTTTCATACAAAAATAATTCAAAGCCTTGTGGCATTTACCATTTCTACAATATCGATTTACAAAGTCGCTATAAAACTCCACTTTCTCTTTAAAAAGACTGAATCAACTGTACTTCTCTTACCTTGAAAGACTGCAGAAGCCAATTTCAGCAGGTGTTAATGGCTGCTGTCCACAGCCAGTTTGCTTTGCTTCCCAGACAAGCCTACACTGCTATATTCAAAACTGACATTCCTTCAAGTGCTCCCCATCTATTTAACAATTCCTTAGAGGCAAACCAGCCAGGATAAAGAGGCTGAGATTTTTTTCTGGCTTCAAGATTAACCTGTTCACCAAGTCACTACTGGGCAACAGCAAACATACTTACTTTCAGAATTTTGCCCAGCCTGGTCAGAGCACAGAACCCACACAAGTTTTCCATATATGTACACTGATGTTCCAAGCAAGTCTTTTGAGAAAAAGCTATGTCATTTTATTTGTTGTTCCTTACATACATTCAAGTTACTGAAAGTGTGGAAGACAAAAAACCAGCAGCGAGATGCCAGATTTTACCACAATGCTTAGTATACTTTAAGTGACAAGATGTGGTTTTTCCTGTTGCAGTTTCAGGCCGTGGCAAGCCGATTAAAAATGTTGTCTACTCCTAAACTACTAAAAGCATATAACAAACTTATTAAAAACATACACTATGTAGAGTTAAAACTTAAGGATCACAAAAGTGATAAACCCCTTCTGTTAAATGTCAGCAATATCCCGTTATAACCACAACAATTTTTAAACAAGACTTTTTTCAAATACCTAGTTCAGGCACAAAATTAGCAATACTTCTAATGCTACTCATTCTTACATGCTCTGTTCTTCCACAGGTGCTTTTTCTAATGTTACACACAGAAGTCATCAGTAGTTTAATTTTAATATTTTCAGTATAGCATCAGCAGAAATACTTGTATCAAGCTCTACCCAACTTTAAAAAAATTCAGGTGGGCCCAAGCTTTATCCTAAAAAGGCACCAAAATCTGCTATGTCAGAAAAAAGACTGCAAAATAGGGGATGAAGAGGGGAGAAGAAACAAAAAAAAAAATAAAGTAGTATTCTAAAAAAACAAATATTTTCCATTGAATAATGCTAAATATGCTAACATTTTGTTACTACATGTAAAGGGTGTGTTCTACAACTTTTTCTTCAGTACTAACTAGTGAATAGTCACATACTGGAACCAGCATCTGATAATAATTTTTGCCCAGAAAATGGTATAGTACAAGTGAAATATCTTAATGACACCCTATTGGCATAGACAAAAATCAAAGAGATTTTTAACTTATTTTAACTGATAAATCACTTGATACCAGGTTAAACTTATCAGAGCCTATTTTAGTTTAGCTGTAACAAGAGTAAAAACTAAGTTATTTAAAATTGGACATAACTGGTTTATTTAATTTGAAAAACATTATGGAGGAAAGCGCCATCCTTGTGATAGGGCAAGACTTCTTACATGGTCTTATTTTCTTCTAACTACAGTTTTTAGTATTTGGATTTTTAAGTTTTGCTGTCATTATGCAGAAAACATTGCTACATTTCCTAACTGGACAGAACTCAACTTCAAATCACCAAGTCACCTTAAAAAGGCACAAAACCTTATGTGCAACGAGAAAGGACCTTGCCTTGGTCAGAAAGACAGAAAATCTCTGTACAGTTTCCTCTGCACAGAGTCTAGTAAAATTAAAGAAAAAAAAATTAAAAAACAGCAGTGGTGATCACTGCTTTATGGCTTAATATTTACTGGTTTTACCTCTCCCCTATTTTTTATTGTACAAGTGGAAGCATGAAGCTCAAGTTTCCAGGAAAAGGTATGCTCTCCTCATTGATAACTTCCTGGGAAATAATTAATGGGAGAAGAAAACAAATCACAACTAGGGGTGAAAATAAAGCTTAGCAATACTCCTTCGCAAATGTTCCCAGGGGTAAAAGGGGATGCTCTCCAAGCTTTACACATCTCCTTACCATAATTTCTACCTAGCTTCATCTTTGACTCTACATTCTCTCCCTTTCAGAAACTTTGCCGAAATGGCATTTCAGAACACCTGTATAGAAAAAGTGTATTACTACAGTTACTTTGTTGGAGGTACTTCTCATTCCATCTTGAAACAGAAAATACACGAATAAAGTGTTGGAGATAATAATTAAGTAGCATGGAGACTTCAAAACATATATCCTCTTTTTGCGGGTGTAACTGTAAAAAAAGGACTGCACAAAAAGGCTCAAGGAAGTGAAGCAAGCACAGTGACCTAGCTAGAATTTTACTCTTTTTTTTTTTAAGAGGGGAACTGGAAGCTCCTTTGACAGAAACAGGCCAAAAATAAACTCTATTAAAAAATTTCAGACCTTGGGAGGCTCCCACTGCTCACTAATTTTCTAGGTTATGAACCTTCAGAGTAGATTTCTGACCTATTACTAGTGAAATAATTACAGGTAATCACAGATACAGTTACTCAACTGAATTAATATTTAAATACTTCCATTAAGTACTTTAATTCAATTTACATTTTAAGTAGTTGTTTGTCACATAGCAAAATTCTCCTTTATTATTTAAAAATTAAAAAAAATAAAAATAAAAACAGCATGGTTCTCTTCAACCAGTTTTTTAAACAGCAAACAGATGTCAACAAGCCTTACAACTTTAAGGTCAAACATGAATATAAATGATATTGACAAATTCTAAGATTATTTTTACAGTACGGATTGTAAACTGTAGCTTTTAAAAACATAGCTTGAATTGCCTATAAACCTGCCATTCCTAAGAGTCTTCTACAGTTGTTAAACCAGTGTAAACAATAAGTACACTTCATGTGTTTCTTCTTGCACTCAAATTTTTATGCACAGCTGATTTTTATATACATACTTCTCCAGTAAAATCATGTATATATGCAAGAGCCATAGATAACAGTAGAATCATTACGGTTTAAGTTAATATTGCTGCACTTCTGTCTACAGTATAAACAAGTTGCTGAATCTCTGCCACGCTTAAGCAGCACAATAATATTGGGGTTTAAGGTTTATTTTACTACACCAATATTTACGTGCTGCTAGGGCGGAACAAGTATGACAGCTCTTCTATTCATCCACGTCAGGACACAAATTTGTTAATAGAAAAATTTATATTAATATCTTCAACTGTTTCTCTTCCTTAAACTTCTAAAGCAGCAAATAATGATTCGCATCTTAACTAGAGCATGCAAACCATGATGTGCTGCTAGAGTACTTTAAGGCCTCAAGTGCAAGACTTAAAACCTAGATGGTATTCTTTACAACTATAACTGGAAAAACAGCTGTATTTAAGATTAGTTTTATTCATACACCAACCTGTAAAATTAAGAATCTGTTATGGTCCAGATCAATTCCATGGCTTCGAAGAAGAATACCAACATCTCTGAACGTCGTTTTCTTTCCATTGATGTGGTAGACTGAAGAATTATCTCTATAGGCAGTTCTAGATACACAAAATTTGCTGTTAGGAATAACTTCATAATCATCTCCTTCCTGTTTCAAGGAAAAACAAAAGCCAGAAAAACAATTACTGTATCACAGGTTTACCTCGTATTTCACAATTAAGCACAAAAATTTTATAATGCTAGGGTTTTAAGTCAATTGCACTCTCAGGTCTAGTAGAAGTGGGAACTGTCTTAGAGCTGCAAATAAAAAAAAAAATTTGAAAAAAAATTTGAGAGCTAGACAAAAAAAAAAGCCCAAATAATTTAAATTGAATGGCCTTCATATTATGCTTTTCCCACCTCTAATACAATCTATTGCTCTGAAAATACTTAATTTATTCCCTTTACCACTGCTTCATATCACAAAGGAAAAAGCCTGCTACAAATTTAAGCTGGCTGTGCTATTCTGTTCCCTAAATTTTAGATTAGGGAGTCTTGAATGACTTAACTCCTGTTTGCATTTTAAACTCCTCTTTTATGGTGCTAGGAAAAGGAATTACTTTTAGCTGAGCAGTTCTAAAGAGAAACTGTAAAGGATAAAAAAGTAAAACATTAAAGATGTGACAAATATGACATCATCAGCTTCAAAATAGACTTGCCTACAAAGCAACTAAAATAAAGCTGGTACTATAGTGCATGCTTCTTGCAAAGACTTAAACTGGCCTACCACTTTCCCAGATTAACCCCCAAGAGCATAATCTAGTTGGTATCTAGCATATGAAGACGTTTTTTAGATCATAAATTTAGCTTCTAGATATTAGCAAAGTCCACTGGAAAAAAAATTACAATTTTTGAATCTGATTATTATAAATACAAGCAAAAGGTATGTGTGTATGTGGATCAAGTCAAAGAAAATTGTATCTGTCTTTTAAAACAGTTCCTTCAAAGGCTGTATATATTGCAAATTTATCATCACAATTTCTGATATTTTAGTGTACATTTCCCACTATTTTGACTGATCCCAAACTCAACAGCTGATACTTCAGCCAGAATGTGTGCACAAAAATTAAATTTAAATAAAGATAAATTCCTTGCACTCTAATTGCAATAAATCAATATAAATGTCCACAAGTATCTATCAGTACATTGAAGTTGCAAGCAATTTTTTTTTTAATTTGCCAACACTTTATTTTATTCAAACAAAATATCAGGTTCAAAAAAACATAGTGGTAGGATGTGAGGTCCATGAAAAATCTGTTTAAAAATCAAAAAAGTATATAAAGTGTAAATAAAAGCTTCAGATTCATTATATTTTTCTAAATTTAGATGACCTAAACTAGTTTCTATTTGGTTTGAAAAGTTTTGCTTAAATAGGTTTTATTTCTTAATATATGCTCGCATTATGAATTTAAGAATATATAACATTTTCAAACATAAACTTAGAAATTTGTAGGGGTCCTACTAATTGCAGAAATCAGTTCTATTTACTTGAGGCAAATGAGAGAACAACTTTAAAATTATTTTTTAAAATTATTATTACATATTTCTAAATAGTTATAAAAACACATGTACTAGATATTAGTCTGGCAGAAAATATAAAAAAAGTGCTTAATATTTTAAGAGCTGCACTACTCTAGAGAGGAATATTTTAAGCAAATGAACTTTGATTTCATGTTTTATATCCCAAAAGTAAGCTAATCATACTATGAAGTTTTCCCTAACTCAAACTGAAATGATCAAATGCTAAAAACTTTCAAATCCTTAAAGAAAAAAAAGTCTCCACTGCTCTGAATAGAAGCATACATACCTTGTCAATGATCTTTTGGAAGTGGATTTCCACAGAACAACTCTGGATATCTGTATGTTCATCAGAATTATGGATCAGCACAGAGAGTTTTTTGGATCTGATTTTTTGTGCTCGATACCCAAACACAAAAAGCATCGAATCGATGATATTGGATTTTCCACTACCATTTGGCCCAATAATACATGAAAAACGCTGCATAATAAAAGGGAAAAAGTAATATTGAAAGGAAAATAGATCCTGGCCATTGTACATCACCCATTTAATTTATGAACAGTTCAAAACACAATTATTCCTAGCACATGAAACTGCAGACTATTTGATAGCTTAGTTTTTACTGCCAAAGGTAAAGCAGCACAACTTATTTAATAAAAACCCCGCACACCTCAACTCAGCTTTCTAAGATTTAACTTGTTAACTCAAAGCAATACTGCATTTAGCAAGCATGTTTGCAAGAAAAGTTTCATGATTAGCCACGTAAGCCTCTTGTGGGCATTAAAAAATATTCTCAGTCTTCAAAACACACCCCTAAAAGTTCTCCAATAAATGAAATAAAGAGAAATTCTGCTTTTTTAAGGCTCAGTGACAAATTAAAATTGTACAGTATCACAAAGTTGCACTTAACTGTCTTCTTTACTGTCCCATGATGAAAATTTAGGATAACACTATATAAGTAACTCTAAAATTTAAATATTTTTTAGGTATTTTGAGGCAAGCTTACATGAAAATACAGAAAGGAATACTAACACAGAGTGAAGTCTTACCTTCATTTAAAAAAATGCTTAAGGCAAATGACAGATACCTTATGAAAAGGTCCCAAAGTTTGCTCCCCTGCATAGGATTTGAAGTTCTGGTTTACAATATGAGTTATCATAAGACGAGGAGCACCAGCTTCATTGGTCACTACTGGAGGTGGGGGAGGAGGGATGCTACCCAAAATCTCTTCTAAACTTCGATTATCAACCACCTCGCTTGACACTGCTAAAAATCATCAGAAACAAACAGAAAGGAAGAAAATAAAATACTGTAAGCTTTCAATGACTACGCACCTCTTAAAATGTTCAACTGGAAAAGCAAATAGTATTTCTATATGAACCAAGCCTATACTTCTGCCTGTAACTACTAAAGTGAGCTAAACAGAATTGTAATTCTTCTTTCCATGAACTGACTCTTTAAGAAAAGATACTTAAGATGTCCCATCAATGCACTAGTGGTTTTTTTCTTTCATTATGTAATTCTTATTCTAACACACTTTAATAGGCACTCTGCAATTGCAATAGCTACAACCGTCACAATAAGCCTACAAATCTGAAACAGGCAAAGTCTTTCTAATTAATAAGTGCAAAGCCACATTTTAAGCATGCTCACAAGTTACTCTGCAAGATTTGGGGATCGCTGCACAATGCTCTGAAAGCTGTAATGACAGCACAACTACTCTGCAAAGACAGGAAGTTTGTTACGAAAACAAACTAGCCCCCTGGATATCAGCTAGTTGTAAGGAAAGCAGCTTTTCAACAGTCACTAGCAACTTTTTCTTCAAACAGACAGTAGGTTTTGCCACCAGCTTCAACATATCAATCTATCTGTCAAATACCTTGCTTTAATAATTGCACATCTGGTTACCTAAAAAGACACACAGCGCTGGTTTTTCCAGACATTTTCAGGAAAAAATTCAGGAAACCCAAGAAAATACACTGCTTCATGAAAAAGAAAGTCAAATCATTTTAAGAGTTAAGTAAATAAACTTGACATTTATTCCATTCCAAGAAATCCCATACCATTGGCTGCATATAAATTTTAAAAATCCTACTGTTGTACCACAAACTTAAGGACAATGTTACAGATCAGGAATATAAGATAGGCTTTATTAGGAGAAAGTCTCCAAATGGCTTTTGCACTTGTACTAAATCACTGGTCCAAACACAGTAACTCTTTGCAAGCCCTCTTTAGCAGTTTAAAAGCAGTTAAAACTTGCCAGGAGTCAAGGCTTTCAACATTCCTTTCTAAAAGAAAAGAGCAAATCCTACCTGGAAGAGCTGGCAGATTCAACTGAACCTTGTTGCTTAACAGGCACTATCATCAAGTTTACACATCATCAGAACCACAATATTCGAACCTACCTAGTGGAGGTATTTCGCCAAGCTTTCTGCTGCCTTCGTTTTCCACTTCCATGTCACTGGTGGACTCCTCTAAGGGCTCTCTGCCTTTCTGATGGGCTGCTGTAGAGGGTTTGGTGCTCTTGCTTGGCATGATCTCTGTTGGCTGTTCCACTCCAAGCAAGCAAGACTACTGAAGGAATCTATCTCCTTTGCTAACATAAATAAGAAAACCCCGTGATCTAAGCATTGAATGACAATTCCCTAAGGAATATACCTACATGTTTGCCCAGATGTTGGACTAGTTTAGAAACTAAAGACTAGAGGTATTTTGAAGACAAAAATCCAAATTTGCAACAACAACAACAACAAAAAAATAATCAAGATTTGCCTCATAATGATATACTTTAAGTTACATCATCCCTCCCAAAACAACACACCAACCCTTATCTATAGGAACAGCATCAATCTACCTACTGAAACATCATACAACCGTGTTCCATGCTCAGAGAAAGCAACCGTGATGCTGGGGGCAAAAGAGTTAAAGACACATTTGCAAAATAACAAACTGAGTAGCCATATACTCATACTCTCCTAGAAGCATTCTTCACACACGCATTTCAGGCCTGACACACATTTTACTTTTAACAGTCCACGCTGACTATATATTTCTTATATATATCGATAGATAAACAAAAAGACCTGTATAATTATAACAAAGACTTGACTCAAACAGTTTAAATCAACACACTAATTTCACAAAATATAACACAATCACTACTGCTAGCAATTAACATTTAGCAGAGAAAGGAAAACAAAGTACCTTAATCTAGCTGTGATGTTAAAGTTAACCGATCAAGAACGAAACATTACAAAAGTTCATCAGCTGGCACTTAAGCACAGCTCCCAGAAAGTATAAATAGAAAGCAGCCGATGAGAAGACAGACGACTGTAAGAATGAAACTCTCTCCAAAGAGTTTAAATTGCAGCAAGTGGCGAAGTTAGTTCGCAGAAAAACAGACATGAGAAAGTTTACTTCTCACAAGATAAAAAACTGACGTGGTTAGAAAGTCATCTTACAATTGGTGCCAATCATTTGACGTTTTCAGACCTACCCCCAACCCACACTCTCATGAGAGTCCTTCATTTGGGACAATGGGGGAGGGGGGAAATGAGAGAAAGAACTCATTTTAAGGCAATTTGAGTCTATGCCCCTGTTAAGAAGTGTTCCGCAATGGCTGTCTCGGACAATTACAGCCTCTCAAAGTACCAGATTTTTTTTTTTTTTTTCAAAAACTGCTCCACTCCAACAGAATTGTGCAATATAGACCTATTTACCTTACCAACCCTTCCCCCCGAGAATACTTCAGCAGAATGAACAAGCATAACTACTCGATCTCAGCTTTTAAATCGCGATAAATTAGCTGCCACATACTCTAACAAATTTAACAAATTCGTGCCCGGCCCCTCCCCCGAGTCAGCTCAAAGGTGTTTGTTAAGGCACCTCTCGACGATCTCCTGCCAAGTGCCTTTTTTGTTACGGAGATGGTGAAAGAGAGTCAGAGACGGACAGAAAGGGTTCCTTATTAGCAGTAGATTAAATTTAATACCGATAACCCATGTCTGCGAAAAGTTTTCGGGTTTTTTTTTAGTCCATTCGTTAATTAAAGGAGTCCAACTGCAGGCTTATCGCGGTCTTTTTCAAGTTGCCACGGGCTTTCTTAAAATTTCTCTCTCATATTTCAAGCATAAAAGGAGCAGGCAGACCTATTTATAGAAGGGTCCCTGCTTTGTAAACAGATTAAAATCGGGCCTCACTGCTGCCGAAACGTACTCCTGTACTTCCCCGTCCGAAATGCGGCTCTGATTCACGGTCCCCCGTGGTCCGTAAGGCCACAGCGGGAAACCCGGAGATCTCTCCCATGGGCTACAGAAGACCCTCTCATCCCCCCTCCTCAAACCCATCTGCCGAAACCAGCCAGAACGGATACGCCGGGCACCGTGCCCCGCCAACGCGGGGACCGACCGGCCACCGGGCAGCCCAAGCCCCTCGGGAGGAAGAGCACTCGGAGGGACAACCCCCACCCCACTGCCCGGGCCCGGAAAGAAGGGGTGCCGCCACCTTTCGCTCCCCTAAGGCGAGGAGAAAAGATGAAAAAATAAGGCGCTGGGCAGACCCGGCCACCCCCCTGCTCTCCCCCACAGCACCCCCTGACCAGGGAAGCGCCCTGAGGACGTCTCCGCCGCCCTGCTTACAGCGGATGAAGCCCCCAACTCCACCTGCCCTCAGGCGAACTGCCGACGCTCCTGCCCGAAGCCCTACGCGCCGAGTATATCCCGCGGAGCTGGTACCTTCGAGGGTTTGCGCCTCCCGGCCCCAGCAATGCTGCAGGCTGTGGCAACAGGGGTGACTCCAGCTGCTACCGCAGCTCGGCGACTTCCACACTCGAAAATGGCGCCCAAACGGCGAACTCGAACCGAAATTCGTTAGAAAAGCGCGGGGCATGCTGGGAAGGGAGGGGGCCGGGCTCCCGCGGGTTTGAAAGGAGGAAAAAAGCCCCGCTCTCCCGCCATCTTGTTTTCCGTTACTGCGCGGATAGGCTGGGCGGGATGAGAAAGTAAAACAAACCCCGTTCGCCGCGGGGAGCGGCTCGTTTCTTGTGGGGAACAGAGCAGGAAGACTCGCGGCCGAAGGTGACAGCGGCCCTGCTCACCCCACGTGCAAAAGGTTTAATTTTAGAAGTAGGTCAGTGGGCGGCGCCTGGTTGCTCGGCAACTGGCGGTGAGGTGGTGGGGCAGAGCAGCGGCGTGGCGGTGCTGCTACTGAAATAAGTTTAAAAAAGTTAACTAATAATAAGAAAAATAGTTGAAAATTATGGGGACGCGGCGGGTTCAAAGCCTTATAAATTAACGGGCGGCGCGGACAACACCCAGCCCTGTCACCTGGTCGGGAAGGGCCCGTGAGGTGGCGGTGGGAGGAAGAGGAAGTCTCGCGGGAAGTAGCCATAGAGACGGAGCCGCTTGGCTGCGGGGGGAGCGGGTAGTCGCCGCCTTGGCCTGGGCGCTCTTGTGGCGTCGCGGGACGGAGAAGAAGGCGGGATTAGCGCGAAAGTCGCTAGGGCTTGGGAGCCGGTTGCTACCTCAGCGGTCCTTGCCGCTCTGTGCTCTCCCTCTCGCTGCCGGCGCAGGTAAAGACGGGCTGGGGGAGCGGCGGTGGGCCCCCTCCCATTGCCGTCGGGGGAGGCTGGCAGTCGGCAGGTCTGACTCACTGCCGCAGTGGGCGAGAGGGTCCGGAGCCGTGACCCCCTCTGGGCGTGGGAAGAGGGCTGGGCTGGGCAGAGAGAAGAGATTGCTCTGGGCTGCGAGGTAAGGGCGGGGGAGTCCCGACCCCTGACTCCGGACGGCCCTGAGGGAACGGACCCTGGTTCTCCCCTGAAGAAAGCGCGGGGTTAGCAGATTAGCCGTTTGAGAAGATGGAAACTTTGAGGGAGAAGGGGATTCCGGCACGGCCGGGGAGCAGGCTTTGCCGTCTGTGTGGTGTCAAGGGGCTGTGCCTTGGGTGTGGGGACGCAGATGAGGCTGGAGGACTTGCGGTTCCCTCACAGCCGCCCCGTAGGCAGCAAACTCTTGCTCCGCCAACCGCCCGCCGTCTCTCTCCACTCCGGAGGGGAAACAGCTGAGAGGAGGAAGGCGGCGTGGGGCTATCGTCTGCGACCGGGGGACCGCCGGACTGTGAGGCCGGGAGAAGCCGAGCCAGGCGCACAGTGTCAGAGTAACTCCTCGTTATGGCTCCATCTGTTTTAAAACTGCCAGCGAATGCCTTCAGCTAACCTGCTGATGAACTTGTGGCAGAGTTGTATGTAGTACGTTCTAAGAGGGGTTATGATGAATGTAGCTGTGATGACAGCGGGTGAGCTGTGCGCCTTAAGGGTGACTCTTTGGCCCTTCAGGTTAACAGTGTTGAAGCTGTTTTCAAAAATTGTAATAAAGTTTTGCTCTTGTCTTTGAAAGGAAAATAATAGATTTTCCCTCGCTACTTACCTCAGCGGCTGTATATCGGCACAAGAGAACTTCAGTGTTTCAACCTGTAACATTTTAGCAATAAGTTCCTAGCATCACTTGGACTTTATCTAATATGTTTATACTAAGCAATCAGATAAATATACAGTTAGGTATTGTACAAACAGAATTCCCTTTAAACTCAGGCCTGGTTTGATGCTTATTTTTTCACAGTACTAATGTAATACTCAATTTTGGTGTATCTTCCTTTTTATTTTTGGCTACATATATATATGTTTGCTTTATTTTATTGCAGTTATATTTACATCTCTTTTTTAGCGCTCTACAACTGAAATGCGACTGAAGATTTCACTTTTAAAGGAACCAAAACATATCCTTTGTCTCAGAACAAACCATAGAACAGCATGTTAATTCTGAATAGACTTTTCCAGAAAGGATTTCTTTATCATAGGTGTAATAGTACAATATTTGTAAAGTGCAAATGACTTTATATTTTGTTCTTTTCTTCACCTTGCCATTCAGTGCAGCCTTTAAAGGCAACATTTAAAGAGCTGTTGAACACTCTTAAAGTAATACCTTCCCTTGAGAAACTATCAGTGTTTTGCTAGAAATTTTCAAGATTTTCTTTACCTTCTTTTTTTGTAGTGATAAGTTAAAATATTTCCCAGACAGGAGTAGTGATATATCTGCTTCCTTGTAATAGGCATGCATGTAGCAGATGTAAACAAAATTATAATTTTCCTGCTAATAAATCAGATGTGTCAACTATATATGATGTGATGTTAACAAACTGACACATTTGAATTACAGTTGGATGTTTTGTACATTCATTGTGCACTAACACCATTCTAGAGTTATAACCCAACATTTCAGCTGTGTTTCAATAAGTATGCATCGTAATAAGAATTATGTTTTACATTATAGTTAGCTTCATTTTTTGCTGAGTGTCTAGCAGCTCTTTTCTTGATACCAAAGAACAAAGAAAGAATGAAGAATCATATTTTAAATATCAAACATTCTATGTAATCTTATCAAAATAACTTTCCAGTACCGTTCCGTCAGTTGTGTATAGCCTACATGAGTTATTTTATAAATTTATTTTTAATAATAAAAATATTCAGATTTCCTTAATTAAATTAAACATAAAGAATTAGTGAGCTGTGTGGGATGGACTACAGCTGACGAACTATATTCCTGCAGTGATGATCACCAAATAATGAAATGGAACCTTTTAACCCGTGAGACTACTCGGTTAGTGAAACTTCCGGATGACATTTATCCCATAGATCTTCACTGGTTTCCCAGAAGCATAGGTGGGAAGAAGCAGTCCCATGCTGAGAGCTTTGTTCTAACAAGCTCTGATGGTAAGTCAATTTAAAATATTTATAATTTCATACCATTTTGTTCTTACGTCACTCAAATACATGCAAAGTTATTTGCAGTTAAATAATTTTCAGTAAAGCAACCTCAAACACCTATGCACCAGTTCTACTGGTGTAAAACTAATAACTGCTTTGATTTTAATGCATTTTATTACTGTAATTTTCTCCAGTACAGCCTTATCAAACATACCTCTGTCAGCAGATAAGTCATTTTTAATGTAACATCAATTTCTATCATCTTTTTTTTCAATTTCACAAACCAGTAGCTTTAAATATGTCTGTACTGCATGTCTACATAGATACCAGAGCAGTTGTGGTTAGGAAGACTTATGACCAAGTGACTGAACTGGCTTAACCATGATGTTTAATATCAATGTAGGCAATTTCTTGGACATATTTCAAGAGCAAGAGTCTTGAATATCCCTCCAAAGCATCTAGTTATGACTGTTGTCAGTAATACAGTAAGACCAGTACCTATGCCCACTGTACTAGCAGATGTGTATATATGTGTGTAGATTTAGTATGCTGCTATTTGTTCAATATACTAGTGTACTAATACTGAACTAGGTAATCCAGTATAGAAGCTGCTGTATTCCAGTGTATGGATATGGTTTTGTGGAAGGGAGTTGGGACAAGAAGGTTTAATGATTGTTTGGGTTTTTTTCTTCCTCCCCAAAGAGACTAGGAATTGATTTTACTCAAATTGCGTATTGTTAAATTTTTATTCCTGCATGGAAGCAGATATATTCCTGTCCCCAGTTAAGAAACCTTAATAACTGGTTTTATTACTGGTTTATATTAATTATGAAGCAGTCCAAGTCCATACTGTTATGGTCAGAGTTCATCTCCTTAGTACTGTAATGGTGATTATGTTCCATGCCATCAGGAATTTTCTGTGCATGTTCTCTTGTTTTTTGGGTCCGTCCCCCCCCCCCCCCCTTTCCTTAACAACAGAAAAAAAACCCGCCACATTTGGAACCTCCTCTTCTTCATCTAATTCTTTATTTGAACAAAATATGAAAAATAATGTTAACAATAAATTTTCCTAATGCCCCCCACCTTTTTATTCCTGTTACAAAGAATTTACAATGTGGAAACACTGTAGTTCAGATGAACCTTTCTTCCTGAAACTACCAAATCTACCAGTTTGATCCTTTATGAAATCTCCTGGTTTACACTGACCTTGTTATAAAAATTGCATTGGGTTAAAAGCTCTGCTAAGGAACAAATCCCTGATGTAGCCTTGGAGTGCTTGATTGACAGTCCACTTGCAAGAACTTGCTTATGGGCTTAGTGTGTTAGTTTGTGAATGATTGCTGATACTTTTCATGCGTAACATCCAAGATCTTGGGGTACAGGGGACTTGGAAGAGCTGCGTGACTTGCTTGCAGAAGTTGGACAGTCTTTACGCTGATCCTAATTTTTTATACCTTTGGTTTATTGGGTTGATAATGCTATTGGAGGTTTCAGAGTAAGTCAGTTAAATTGTCTGGAGCTAATTATGTGCTACAGAACATAAAACATACTAAACATAGTTTATACTCTTTTTGTCAGGGGTCAAAGATGTTGGTGTTTGAGTGATACTTCCATAGAAATGGTAGTGATGGGAGTTTTGGTGAACTTAAAGCAATATGTTGCTCTAAATCTCTGCCAGCTCTTTCAGGCTGATCAGGTCATGGTCAATTGTTGTAGAGTGTTTCCATCAGGATAATAATGGCCATCTGCCTGTGACTGGTTGATAGCTTTCCCAGGGACCTATTGATAGTTTTAATGGGATTAGTGGAGAATTTCCAGCTAACTTTTGCCCATGTTTTGGCCAGAATCTTGAATTTGTGGGTCTAGTATGGTTTGTGGGTTTGTTTTTTTTTTTTGTTAAGGGGAACTAAATGGAAGCTCTTGGCTAGCTTCAGAGTGAGCTTGATGGGGACCAGAAGGTTTGTTACTGAGCAGTAGCAGTCTCTAGCTGATGCATCCGGCATGGTTTTCCATATGGATGGAGAGAGTTATTTCAATATATTGAAAGTTACATTTCAACTTTTAACAGAGAGTTATATTTAAATATGTATGTATATATTGAAAAAGGTAAAGGAAATTCATTCCTTGCAGGAAATTTTTGAGATTTCTCTAACTTTTGGCAATACTTGCACTTAAAAATTAGGAGAGTTCAGTTCACTGAGCGGAGGCCAAGAATTCTTCAAGATATTTATTACTTTCCAAGGAATAAATGAATTGAACTTACAAAACAAAAGCAGGAGATCTTTTGGTCAATGTCTGAAAGTTGGCTCCCTGTTGTTTCTTAGGTAGGGAGGGAACCAAGTAAAGTAATTTTTGCAATACTTGGTGCTGAACTTTAATATGCATTTTAGGCATCTGGGTGTAATGAAGTATTGCTTTTAGAGCTTTTAAGGTGGAAGTGGAAGCTTTTGTGAAAGCTGAAAGGATGATTCATTTGCATCAGTTAATATTTGCATGCATTATAGTATTATGCTGTGGGATGGGGGCAGAATTTGCCTAAAAAAAGATAATCTTCAGAAAGTCAGTCAAGGATCAAGATTAACTGAGCTGATTTCTACAGAATTTGTATACTTTTCCCTTCAATGATAAACATGGGGCAGAAGGATTTTGGTAGGTCAACTGGTGCTCTTAATTCCTTGCTTTTTTCCTCCTTTTTCAGTTTTCACATTTGTATTTCTAATATCCTGGTGCTGTAAAGTTCTAAATTGTATGTGCAAATAGCGAGCAAAAGAGCAACTGTAGTGAGTCAGGTCTTCTGTTAATTTATTCTGTCAGTTTTCTAGTGTTATCAAAATAGTATGCTAACATTTAATGTTCTGCTTGAATAATGCTTTGACGGTTGAGTGAAGAAAAATGTTTGGGCTACTACTACATTAATGAAGAAAAAAACTTAAAATTCTGCTGGGTGACCTTTTTTAATATCACTAAAATATGTAAGGAAAATAAATCATATTCACAAATGTATTTAGAGAGGTTGAAAGTTGATTTTTTTCTCAGATGCATTCGAAAATTAGCACATTGCAGGAGCTGCATATTTGGAAGTACTTTAGTCTAGATGTGAACCCAGTGCAAATTAGGTAACATACCAGTTCCTAAGTGTAATGTCAGGTATGAATGCTTACTGGTAAATGGATTAAGTGAAACTGCAACAGAGAGCTACAGTTTAGGAATAAAGATTCATGACTAGATAGGCCCGGAATCTTTTCCAGGATGTATTAGGAACTTTGCAATTAAGTAGTAGCAGTTGGATTACTTTAAGTGACATGAGTCTGTGGCAGAGATTTAAAGTTCTTGGAGCTTAGCTTGATGTTTGGAGGTTTTTTTTTGCCATTCAAGACTTTAGTTTCACATGACCAACAAATTCTAAACTAGTGCCTTAGTGCTGATCTGAGTTTTCCTCGGTAAGACTTTTGTGTTCATTTGCTTATAACTTCTAACAAACTTTTTTTGTCTAACCTAAACTTACCATCCTAGGATTCTAGCTAATGCTGAAGTACTTCATAAAGATTTTAGCTACAAGACATAGTGAGAGGAAGGTCAGGAAAAATGCTGTCTCCTCTTAACAGTAAAAAAACCCAACATAAATACAGAATGAGAAAAAAATTCTGTGAAACTTGTAAGTGACCATGTAGTTACTTCTCTGTTAGAACTGATCTGCACTTGAGAGTCTGTCAATTCTGTCATTGTCCAGCTTTTGTAGATCAGCTTAATTCAGCTTGATTAATTCCACTTCCTTTTAGTGCAACTGTTTCTTGATTGGATGCAGCATAAACTGTTTTGGCTAACTTTGCCAAATTTATTGCAGTGGCTGTTTTGAGGCTTTGGGGGTGGGTTCTTTTTGTTTTTTTTTTCTTTTTGGTTGGTTGTTTTTTTGGTGTTTGTTTGTTTGTTTGTTTTGGAGTTTTGTTTATTTTTCTTTTTACAAATGCAGGCCCTTCAAGTTGTCGGGTTCTCATTACATCTGTAAGGCTTATCATCTGAATGGTGGTGTAGCTGGGATAGGTATTGTCTGATAAAAGTATGCAATCCACTAGCATCCCCTTTCCCAAGGTAACACATTCTTTAGTTCTTCAAGCCAGTCTGATGATCGGTGGTTAGATAATTTTGTATCAGTTCAGTGAGTTGAATTTGTATTCAGCCCTTGCATTACTTCCGGACATCTGGAGCCTTTACTGCTATTCCTGTCCTTAATTTTGACACTGCTGTTTTGCTAGCATAGTGCAGTCTGAAGCAGAAGTGAGTTTTGCTGGATGTATTACTGTTAAACCCAAACACTTCATGTTGTTACAGTGCAGTAGGTGCTCAGTGGTACAAAGATAACATGGGATATTGCAGAAGAAAGATGGGATGTCATTTCTGGTTAAGTGAACAGACTAAATCCCCATTTGTTTATATGGTTTTAGACTGTAAATTTAAACAAAGCTGGATGAAGAAACTTTTTTCCTTAAAGTTCTGTTCCCTAAGAAAATGAGGCTTCCATGACAGGTGTCGTAGGGGCACTGGATGGCAAGTAATCAGTAACTTTGATGCTTCTTGGGGGGTTTTGTGGAGTGAAGCAGTGATGTGATGGAAAAATGCCTACTTGAGGGAGCAGCTGTGGCAGGGGACGAATGCAGACAAACGTTTCACGCAGGGAGGGGTTGTTATGCTTGCCCTCACTGAAGGGAAACATTCAGTGTGGTGCCTTCGTAGGTAGTAGGGAGGCCAGCAGCAAAAGTTGATTTCGTTTGCATTTACTGATGGAATGAGTTATTTTTTGCCTTAACTAGTTCACAGATCACAAAACCCAAGTCATGTCTTACACAAGCTAGTATCTTCTCTCTTGTAGCGAATTTTTACGTAGTTTGATGTTGTTAGAACTAAGGGATAAGCTCTTTGCATTGATGGGTAAATTCATCCTGAATATTCGGTTTCTGGAAAACTGTTTTGAGATGTATTTGCAAAAAAAAAAAAAAGAAAATTGTTGAGTTTTTTTGTTTGAGTTTGTTTATTTATTTTTTTTTCCCTGAGTTTTGCTTGGTGTTTTTTTTTTCAGTGAAATCAAAATACTGACCAGTGCTAACCTAATTTGTCAAAGCATAAATTGAGATAAAAATGTAATGTAGAAAATTCCCAAGTTTTTATCTCCTAGTATAACTTAGCACTTTCAGTAAAGGGAATTTATCTCATACAGATTTTTGGTTGTTTTTTTTCTTGGTTTATTTTTTTTGCATATGCAAGTGAATTATTGCATTGTAAAAGTGCATGAACAAGTTTTGTTACTTAATTGCTATTTTTTTAAAAACCTTACTTTTAAATTTATGTCTAACTATTACTTACATAGTATGCCTTATGTGTTAAACCTGCAGTTTTCCTGCAACAGCTAATTCATCTCTGTGATAAGGATTTCTGGAAACTTGCTGAATCCAATGGAAAAGGAGTATAATGTCTTTACAGGGTTGCATTAATTCCTGGTTGAACTCCAGATGTTTGTGAAATTAGAGCAAATGTAAATTTAGTCCTCTGGGGTTTTCTTTTGAATTGCATCTCTTGTGGGATATTGTTCTTTTGCTTCCTACTTACATTGATCCTGTTGCTGCTTTTTTACAAAAATAAAGAATGTGGTCAGCTTCCAACTATTTATTAAGCACAAATTGTAAGTGAATAGACCTATCTTTTCAACATTTTGTTATTGATAATTTTACATTAGGTCAGCATTTAAGAGCCTATGAAAAGTAATGACCAAAACATACATGTTTTATATTCTGTATTTGAATAGTCTGCTATCTCCCACTTGAAATTCCTCCAAAACTGGAGAGTCGCTTCGAGATTAAGGACACCTTCTGGCTTCAGTATTTAATAAGTAAAAAAAAATCAAAAAACATCAAAAAAACCCCCACCCAAAAAACCAACCAGTATTTTACAAATCTGAGATGTAAAGAAAGATTAAGTTGACTCATTTCTGCTTACTCCAGGCATACAGCTAAAATTTTCCCTTTCTTTAATTGTTTATAAGGCAATAAATTCTAATTTGAATGCGTCTACTCTCATTCTGCCTCAATGTTAAGTTGAAGGCAGGGAAATCCACTGAGAAGTTGGTTTTGGAGCAACATCTATGTGTGAATGTAATGAAAAAAGCAGTATCTAATGAGTCACCTAATTTGGCTGTCATCAGTTGTAAATCCATACATTGGAAAAGCAAAGATGATATCCATGAAAACTTGATTTGGCCCTGTGCTGCCTAAGTACTATGATGCAGTTTTTAAATGCATGATCACATTTTTTCCAGATGAATTCTATGTTAGTACCTTAGGTGGACCAGCTTTTATATGAGACTCTATTCTTTCCTGCTAGGCTACAGTTCACTATTTGAAAGATGCCTTGTGAAAGAAGTAAAGAGTTTGTGGAGTGATAAAGGATGCAAAAGATTGGTAAATGATTTGGATGTTTCCCTGTATAACAGGAGTTGATATCCTGTACTCTGTGACATGGCCCATTGTTTTCCTGATAATGTGACCTAACTGAAGTATTCAGTTGCTTGCCAACTGTCTGTTCTTTCATTTTAATTTATTTTTTCTCTTATGTGTTGGGGGGTTTGCTTACAGAAGTATTTGAGGTCTCACGGATTACCCCTAGGTCAGTGAAAGCTGTTGTGTCAATATATAAAATGCTGTAGAATTCTTTGTATCCTTAAAATAGTAATTCTGAACGTTTCAGATTGGGTACTGAAAGGTGATGTACACGTTTGAGTTAGATTCTGTATGTAAGCTCACGATTTGCGAAGCTGTTCTTTTCAAGGGAAATTAGTGAACTGTTTATAATGGCTATGAAGCGCTCAGCCACATAATGATGAATACTGCAGGTGGTGGCATGACAATATTCATAGTCCTATGATCAGATTAGGTGTAAGTATTCCACAATGAAAAATATCTTGGCTATAGATTGAATACATATGCTATGTATCGAAAAGACAAGTGATCAGAAAATCAAACATGTTTTTCAATGTATTATTTTAAAAGCAGAAAAGGATGTTTTGACAATTTAATTAGAGAAAAGAGCATTTAATGTGAATCCAGTTACTGCTTATGCATAAAAAATAAGCATCTCAGATCTGAGAGATGTTCTATAAAATTACTGATGTATTAATTATATAAAATGTATTTTATGGTTATAACACAGTGCATTACATGAAGAATACCAGTACTGAAATTTTAGGAAAATAAAATTTAATTCAATGAGCAAGCACTGGCCTTAGTGTTAGTTCTGTGAATTTATTGAAAACGGGATTAAAGAGCAGTTCAGAGTATTCCGATACATATGAATATAAGTGATAAAAGCAAAAATCTGTACTTGTTTATGATATCTAAATAGTCTGTTCAAATTAAACAATTTAACATTTAAATGTTAAAAATTTATACAGACCATTCTTTTTCTTCAGTGTTAAATATCTTTTGTTTAGAAATCTTGTGTTGGCCAAGGTTTGTGGATGATTGTGCCTTTTTGTTTATGTACTTAAAAGTAAAATGAAGACAGTGTGATTGCATTAATTTGAATAATAGTATGGAAAGCCCTGATACATGCTTTATGGTTATTTTAAGGAATTAGTTTTCTTTGGCTTTAGTCTGCCTTTGTTTTTATGTTTTTTTCTTGTTATTGGGGTTGGTTGTTCTGTTGTTGTTTGGTTTGGGTTTGTTTTTAAATTGAAATGCAAAATAAAACATGGCAAATCAGAACACAATAAAAGTTGTTTCAAGCTTCTGGTAGTGCAGGCAACCTAAATTTTGCCATCTTGGCTACTGCGTTTTGAATGCGCCTTTAGTGTGGTGATGTCATGTGGTTTTACCGTCTATGCAGTTCAGTTAACTCTGTTACCACCTCTGTACATACTGGTCTTGGTAATGTCATGCTTTACTGAAATAGTCAGGTATTTAGTTTCCAGTTCTGGCTCATCAGGTGTGGCCTGGTTTATAATTCATATTCACAAGCAGGATGTTATTAATGGAAAAATTACTCCATCTTAAGTGATGGGGCATTTGCACACAGTGTAAGATATCTGTGTACTGTTCAGCTCAGAGTTCTGGTCAGGCTGGTAATTGCTTGTAGTGGCTCACTGTCTGGCAGATTAGACAATTCTAAATTAATTTTGGGTTTAAAATAGTTAATTTGAATCATGAAACTGTTCTAAGCCATGCTTTTGTTCTGCCACATGTTTCCAAGTCCTCTGTTGTCTGCTCTTTGGTCCAGTTTAAATTTGATCTTCCTGGATTTAAGCAACATCCCTCACTGGGAAAGGAAGACTTCCTCATGCTTCTGTTGAAATCATTAATAGCTTTGGTTTTGGCTTCTGTGAATTTCCATAACAGCTCCGTAATGCAAGCAGTAATACTCGTCAGAGCAACGCGCTCCCTGATGGTCAGATTGTTCTAGCTTTTCATTAACCTTTTGGTGTTGAGTAATTTTTCAGATCTTAAAAAAACAACAAAAAGAAAAAGGGGGGGGGGGGGCGGACGACCCAAAAAACAAACAAAAAACCCACCCACCACCACCCAAAAAACCCCCACCAAAAACCACACAAGGACTCTCCTTGGCTGCAGTGTATACGCCTCTGTTTGTTAGCTTTCAATGAAATAACACCAGGCAGTTATGTCCCCAGAGACAAATACAAACTTCAGAAAGACAGAAGAACAGGCAAAACAAAGATTATACATAAAGGAAAAAAACAAACAAACGAAAAAAAAAAAACCACAATAAAAAACCCCACCAAAATATCCCTATACAAGGTTGTAGCTAGTTTACACGTAGTTCTTCTGCAAGACCTCATTTGTTTGGGCTAATCATAGCTGTGAACAATATAATTGCTTCTTTTGTTGTTTTTTGTTTTGTTTTGATTTTGTTGTTGTTAGTTTCTTGTTTTATGTGTGTATTTTTAACAGAAGATTAACACCATTACAGCCATAGAGTCACAAAATTAGATAATACTATTTCTATCTTGAACTTTTGTTTAGGGAAGTTCCACTTGATTTCCAAGTTAGGAAGAATAGAGAAGAGCATAGACGCACACTGTGGAGCTGTACTTGCAGGAAGATGGAATTACGAAGGAACAGCACTGGTTACAGGTAAGCATTTTCAAAGTGCTGAAGTGTTTTGAAAACTAAAATCACAGAAGAGCTCTTTCAAAAGAAAGCCTTTTGTTTGTTGTTTTTTTTATAGATATATAAAATTTACATGCTGTGAAGAAATATGAGGGCACAAAAGTACACTATTAAACAAAAATTATGAAAATGCTATTGATCAACTGTAGAATGCAAGTACTTTATTCAATGGGATAAAGGAAATAGAATGTTTTTGAAAAATAAGTTAACCCTTGACAGGTATTTAGAAGATGCAGTCCTTAATTTCATGGTTTATGTTGTATTTATATTCAGTTTGAATGAATAAAACAGTCTAGCTTGAAATTCTTTTGAGGAGGGGGAAATGGAAACACAAAATCAACAATATAGATGAAGTTAGCTATAGTAAGTTACTATGTCTTCATGACCACTGGGATTATTATCACCGTGTTTAATAGAAGTTAATTTTACTCTAACTGATTAATTCTGCTTTAGAGTAATGCTTTAATTAACAGAATTAATATTTTCATGAAAAGACCTAGTAAAAAACATTCATCTTATTTAGTGCTTCTACTTATTAGATGTTATCCTATTTACTTGAAAGTAAATGTTTGATATATCGGAGTGCTTAGATGTTTCATGGATGTTCTGTACTTCATAAAGGTGAATATTTGATTATTTTTTTCTATCTGTTATAAAAATATCTCTGCATATGACACCTGGGTATTTCTAAGCTAGTAAAATTTACCAAGGCCTTGTGAGCATCTTGAAGGTTCCCGTGTTTCTCTTTCTTAGTCATTAGGAGTGATGTAGATCCAGCTGTAGTCTTAACTCTCAGCTCTTATCAAGGCTGGGAGAGTGATCTCCCAGTGTCTGCATCTCTACACATCTTTCTGTCCCAAATCTTTTGGTATTTAGCTGCCTTTTGCATTTTTGTCAAAAACTTCTATCTTGAAGTTAAAGGATAGCTAATTGAATTTCTTATGATAGACATCTTCCTTATGGGATTTCTGTTGGTGTCAGAATTCCCTGCAGCCTCCTGTTGATCTAGCACAGCTGATTTCTTTGGACAAATTCCAAGTCAGTCCAGAAGTACTGAAGATAATTTTGGGTCTGTTTGTTTCCAGACTCAGTCTGACTCTAAAATGCTGCTTCAAGGAGCTCTGCCTGGCATGTGCCTCTGAAATCCCAGAGGGATAGAAATATTGTTCTTTCTAAAGACAGATTATTTATTTATTTATTTATTTATTTAAAGAATGCATGACACTTATGGGGAATATGGGAATTCATCACCATATCCAAACAGTTTACTCTGAGATGATCAACTACTCTTGTACTGCAGCTATGCTTCGAGGAGGAGTGAATCATTGATGATACCATATCAGCTAAAATATTATTTATGGCTGTATTTTAACAGTATCAAATATGCACAAATAAGGGGTTTTTGTTATATGGTTTTTGTGTTTGTTTTTGTTTGTTTTGTTTTGTTTTTTTTTTTTTAATTTTTCAACACTTTTTAAACATTTAAAAGCTACATCAGTCAGATATAAAAACCTGAAACTTGGTAACTAAATTACCCTTGAATGGAAGAATGACATTAAGTGCCGAGGTGTGTCTTCTGTTTCATTATTTGAATCTGCAAGGCCTAAATGAAGACCCAGAGCCGTATGTTTCAAATATGATAGCACACTAGGAAATCTGTATTCTCAATGGATAAATAACTAAGCTGCATAGTGTATATGGACTTAATCTCTAATAAGTAAACTGAGCTTCTTGGAAATGTGCAATTATGTTATAAAACTTAAGCTTTCCAAATGGAGCCTTCAGTTATCTTCAGTTTCACCATTCATCAACTGTGAAGCCTCCAGCTTAATACATAAAATCTGTTCCTGCACTCTTCTGTCTCCTCAGAGACCCATTTAATCAGCCTCACGGCCATTGAACTGTAAATACATGAAAAGTACTAGCAATGCTGAATAGAAAATACACAACTTGAGATACTTGGAGTGAGGCACTTTCTCTTCCCAGGAACAGCTTCAGATAAGAAGACTTACAGGGATTTTTCAGGAGGGGAAGAGACTTGTTGATAATAGCAGAACAGTCTGAAATATTTTTTCCTTAATATACTGTGTAGTTGCATGTTGGGAAGTCTACATAAACAATATTGACCCATAAGAAGACCTGGACTTCTTTAAAACAAGTGTTTCTTAGGTAAATGCAAGCACTATGTTTGTTAGACTTACTATTGCATTTAAGCTGATAGTTTCTGTGATAACTTTACAGTTGGTGAAGATGGCCAAGTGAAAATCTGGTCTAAAAGTGGAATGCTGAGATCCACTTTAGCTCAGCAAGGTAAGTTAATTTTTTTTAAAGTGCCATCAGAAATTTTTAATTTAGGACATTATGAAATATAATTAAATCACAGACCCTAAATCTGGCAGTAATGGTTTGTTTAAGGATCTTAAGGCCTAGATATGCTTAACTAAAATTAAATGTAAATCATAGTTGAATAAAGAGGGAACAGGATTTGTAATGAGATGTTTCTCAAAAAAAAAAAAAACGAAATAAAATCTTCAAATTAAAAGTATTATTACAACATTTTTAGATAGTAGTTTCAGTTCTGTCTTAAGGATTCTGGAGAGACAAAAGAATTAAAAGTAAAAAAATTTAGTTCTTAATACCAAGCTAAAGACTCTTACGATGAAACTGAAAAATGAGAAGTTATGCCTAGAAAAGCATTGTAAGAATGCTTGAAAGATGCAAAGTGCATGTAGGCTAGATCCTCTGAACTTCAAAACTCTTAACAGCCCTTGGTTCATCTTCCTAGTTAACCCAGTAACTGTAATTTAGTATATGTAGATAGACCTACTGATGTGAAGATTCCTGTGCTCAGGTTCTTTGTTCTGGGGCAATGGAGCCCTTACCTTGATCTTGGCTTTTTAACTACAGTTTTATGTATACTAGAGCATTTCAGTTATTTAAGTAAATTTAAAATAATTTTATTGTGAAGAACAACAATATAAGCTGCAAATATGTATTTATAGAAGTGACATTTGTTACTTTTAACATGCTATTTTTTATAATCATAATTTCTGTCATTCTTGTGCTATTTCAGTAAGATACTCAGCTAGATTTTGTTTTTCATACTTCATACATTGAGATCATATAGCCTTTTGACATTTTTTAAGAAACCGCATGCACCTGGGTTGGGTTAAATGTCAGACCCTTATCTGTTTCTAAAACAAATTATCTAAATTCTTTCAACCTGTTGAAGGCATTTTAACCACAGGAGTGAATGTAAAATGTATTTCAGTTCTGTTGAGGAAGTTTATATTCAGATGTGATGTTTTTTTAATGCTTACAATGTAAAAAGATAAGCCAACTGAACTGTAATTTTTGAAAAAAAGAAAAAAGGTGAAGCACACACTCTTCCTTCACTATTTCTCAGTTGGTATGTTTCAAGGGGGGGGGTATGCCTGATTGCTTATTTGAGGTTTGATGACACTTGTAAAGTAAGACAAATGTTCTAGTTTGAAATATACAAGCTGAATTTTCATTGATTTCTTAGAGTTTCTGCTACATTGTAAAAGTACAGCTGGGTCCCCATGGAAAAATTGTTTTCTCGTATTTGTCTTTTAAGATAAGATCCTGTGAGACTCAGAAACCCTTTAAACATTAAATTTATAGGATTGTATTCCCAAAGGTATCTCTGGGGGATCTACTGACATGCCTGGGATCAAGATAAGATTCTGCAGCTATTGTTATGTTGTTTAAGAGAGGTATATCATGTTTGAGCTAATTTTTCACTTCCTTCATCATCTCCTTAGGAAATGAAAGGATTATTTTTGCTAACATTCTTTCTACTCATTCCAGTCTTTGTATTAGAAATAAATTTTCAGGCTCTTATCTTCAGATGATGGTCCGCATGCCTTTTCTATCTTTGGATTTTTGTTCACTACAAAACCATGAACATATATTTTTCCGCTTTTTTAGCCTTTGCAGTAATTATATGGAGCACTCTGGCCACATGTCCTTCCATTGTGCCAATGGAACAGAGTAGTTAGTGTGACTCCATAGCTTCTACTGCTTTCAGCCTCAAGTTGTGCCATATTGCTCCTGTTCTGTGTTCTTTGAGCCTTGTCTCTTCTTCGTCCTTAGATTATCTTAATATTCTTCCTTTTGTTCATCCTTTCCCTTAAACTGAAACTCTATTTTTTAAAAATGCTGTAGTTAACAATCCTTTGGACTTCCAGCAGACACAACGTGCTGATGTTTTGCTGAAGTCTTTTTTTTTTTTTTTCATGGATCTTTTTGGTATATATTGGGAAGTCATGCGTTTATGCTTAAAGCAGTATTTCTCTGTGTGTTCTATGATATATATACTGCAGCATGATGCTGTGCTCAGTGTCTGTGTGTTCCTTTGGAGAAATCCACAGAATTATGAAGAATAGGATGTATGAAGTATTGAAGGTCCACATTTGAAAGAAAAGATGGCTCTACCAGCAGAAATTTTGATGGTGCTTTGTAGATCCTGACACTAAAAGTGTTTGAGGTGAAGTCTGTCATGGCACAGGAGGCCACCTGCGCTGAGTCCTTCTCAGACCAAACATCTGTTTGGAAGGACCAGTGCCGAGTCCACAGTTGCACAGCCTATCTTGAAAGGTCTGTCTGAAATTGTTAACTGCTGAAGTTTGCAAACAAGTGGCTCTCTAACCCTCCCATTTCTTTAGCCTGTCCCAGTAGTGAAGCTGACTGTTTTGCTGGTAACTGCTCTTACTCCATGATCGGAGAATCTTCAGGGTGAGCAAGTAGGTAGACCTTATGGGTCCACCCTAAGTATCAACCGCAGAACTATTATTTCCATGCCACACATTTTACCAGTTTACCTCCAATGGATTTCTAGTTCTTCAGGTGATTTCTTTAAAATTGAACTTTTCATCCAGTCCTCTTAAAACCATACTTTTTTTGAATACTTCTCTTTTTGCCCTGCTGACTTTCTGATGAGCTTCCAGTGACTAGTATGCTGAGTAAGCACCAAGGGTTAATGTGAATGATTGGTGTATAAGTTGCCTTTTTTTGGTTAATGGAAACAAAATCACAGCAGTTGCAATTTAAACAATTACAACATGTTTATTGTGAAGTGGAACTTGTTTTGTAAGGGACAACTGTATTCCAAATGCAGCTCTTATTTTTTTTTTTGTGTTGCCACAGAGTGAGTGAAAGTTGTCTGACTTACTGTTTTGAGTCCTGTGAAAGTAAAAAGTCTCACACAGACTTACTGTTGTAATTACCGAAGCATCTGTTGTGGCAGAAAGTGTCAGAGTGACTGCTCTATCACTCCTGCCCTCAACCCTAGCTCTTTCTCTGCTGTATGCATTGGCAGTGGGAGTGGTTCACTGGGGATTAACATCTGCTAATAGAGCACAGAGACATGAAGCAGCCCATCCTGTATGCTTCATGCTGAGATTCCTTCCTCAGATCTCACCTTTTCTGCTCTTCTCACTTCTTTTCTCAAAAAGTATTTTTTCCTGAAGCTGTTTATCATCAATGCAATTCACTGCAGTTTGTCTGTTCTGCTGAATTTTTCTTTCCACAAAAATGCAATGTGTTGGCAGTCTTTTCCCAACCAAGTTCTTGTTAAGTGCAGAAGGAAATGAGTTAACTTAGCTCCTGCTGTTAAACCCTAGAAATTGTGGTTAAGTAGTCAGCCATCATAAAAAAGTTAAACATTTGGTTTAAATATAAAAGTCTTCTGATTGTTAAATCAGCATTAGTGCAGGACAAAAATTAATTTTTTTAGAATTTCTATACAGCTGGTGACAGAATTTATGTCATTTTCAACATAAAATGCTGCCAGTAGGAAAATAGCTAGTGCCAGATTTACTTAATATACGCTGTATGTTTCTGTGAGTTGTCTCCTATAATGGTTGATGAGTTAAAAAAAAAAAATACATCATTCTGTATTTCTGAAAAACGTAAAATAAATGCCTTCCTAAAAGAAAATATATGAAGTATAAAGATGTTCAGGAGCAATGAGACCAGCTCTCAGTTTAGAATTTGAATACTTGGAAGATCTAATGAAGTTTGGTGTGCTGAACTGATTTGTTGTAATGAAGATAGTTTTTTGTTCAGAGAGAAAATTCAGAGGCTTAAGTAGTTAAGGTATTGGATTGTTTTAGGATGGTTGATATAGCAGCTCAGTCACTTAAGTATCTGAATCTCATCAAAATATTCTCATAAAAAGATATTTCTGAGTCATTTTTTGCAGTGCAACTTAATATGCCAATTGTGCCAATTTTACCTTGTAAAAACATTTCTTAAGCCTTTGGTTGGGGAGGGAGGGCTATTACCATAAATTAAAGATAGGTTAAAAATTATTTGATCAGTTTTAATTCGTTTGATCAATTTGATACTTAGCAGTTGAAATATGCACGAGTCCCTAGGAAGTGTGTATCTCAGAGAACATATTTCCATTTTCCTCTACTAAAATTATAAAATCGTCAAATACAAACATTTAGATTGTACTAGTTGCTCTTCCTGAGGTTTTTTATTTCTCAAACACAGCTTTCAGGGTATAGGTCAGTTGTGTTGATGTGATACTTGAGGTTCATTGCCTAACCTCCACATCTAATCTGTAAAGAGACGGCTCTCCTTCAGGTCCCACGTCCTGTGTGTAAGCTGCACATGGTATCTTAGTGTATCCCAGGTGCACTACATCACTTACGTACTTGTGTTTAGACAATTTAATAAAGGTATCAGTTCTGTAAGTGAGAATATTAAGGCTCTTAGAGAAGACCAGAAGCCTGAAATAAGTCGTCTTTTTCCATTTCAGAAGGTATGGAAGCACATTTTACGAACAGTGAAGAGAATCGTCTCATAGGGATGTGCGCGCAGTCCGCCTCCTTGCAGTTTTATATGCACTGTATGTTGAAACGGTGCTGAAACTCGCTGTCCATTGCTGCAGGACTTTTGCTGTGATAGAAATAAATGTTTGGACATGTTCTTACTTTATTTTATTTACAAGGAATCAAGTACTGTAATACTTTGATTCTTCTTCTTCAGGGGAGACTAATCCTGTCAAGTATTATGGAAAATATTTGCATAGTTGGCAAGTCTGTTTTTTTGTTGTTTTTTTCCATGTAATTTTTCACTTTCCTCTATTTTCAAAAAAAGTAATTTGAAAACTGCAACATGACAGGATTTTAAAATGAAACAGTCAGCTTTGTTCTGGATATGCATTCTGGAATTCTCAATCTGCAGAAAAGTATTTTCAGTTAATTGGGGAGAAATCTGTGGGCCACTCTTTCTAGTTTTATTTGTTGTCACTGGTTTTGTAAGTTGCTTGTGTATGGGACTTTTGGGCTTTTATATGTGCCGCAAAACAAAAATATGTATTATGTTAGAGACTTAATAATGAAGCCGTAACATCTTATGAAGAATAATGTAGGTGCAATACAAAGCTTTTTTTACTCACATTTGTGTTCAGTCTCATCATTGTAGGTGAAAATAGCTATTTTCTCCTGTCTGTGGACAAATATGAAGATAACTGTTGTCATGCTGATTTTCTGTATCTCTTAAATGACAACTGTGAATGAAATTGCATCAGAGTATAAAAGATTAGGTAGAAAATATTATATGTATGTATTACATAAATATATCTTATGAATATACGATATAAAATGAATGTTCATTTTCTGGAGTTGTGTAAAACTGTGTATTAAAAGTTTTACAGATTAGCATGGTAAATGGCAATGCATAATGAAGTTTGGGAAAGATGCAGTAGTAAAACCACAACATTAATATGATAGGTGGTGGCATGCTGTGCCATCTATCTTGCTTCCTGGACTTACTTTTGGTACAGACATTTGCTGTTTTTAAATTAGGTATTGGTCGGCATCACAGTTAGTGGTCCCAGTATTGGATTTAATTGTATTGTAGGTTTTCTCGTAAGCAAGTTTGAAGGGATTTCAAGGTAAACATGAAATGGTTTTGTAGGTATTTGTAGGAAGTGTCAACAGACTAAACAGTTAGCAAGAGAAAAGATCTGAAGATCTGACAGCTGGGAATTGAAAGCTGACTTTGTGGACTGGTCAGTTAGGAAGGGTTAACATTTTAATATTAAATGACAGATAGACCTTAGAAGCAACTGTCCAGGAAAGGCTTTCTTTGATACAGTAGAGAAAATTGTACAAATGGAAAGGGCAGCACAAATCTTTGCAGTGGGCTGGTTAACCATGAGATGGGGATCAGCACATCAAGGTGTGAGAGAGGCACCTGAAAGATTAAAGTTGAGGTGAGAAGGACAATGTCCTCTTATTTTGCCCAGCCGTATCTTGGAATAAATTGATCATTTGGGGTCTTTTTAAGAGTGGGGAAACAAAAACAATTGGGAGTATATACATGAGGTTCAGTGAAGTGGAAGAAACAAAATTATCTAGTTATGAAGATTGACTGAAGAAGAAATCTTATAATAGAAGAAGAAATTAGGTAATTTCAGTTCTTCCAGAGATGGTTTTAGAGAGATTATGAGATGAAGAAACAAGTAGTAAATGTAGTCAGAATCTGCTGGAACAGACTTAGCAATAAAATTCATGGGTCTTAAGTGATGCATAGAAAAAATTGCATTACGAGAAAAGGAGATGGCTGCAGCAGTAGTAAAGTCATACATGTTTTCAGTAACCCAGATGTATTGGACAAGCCATCAATTCATAATTTGTTTTGCATAGAGTTGATTTGTTCAGAGTTAAATTTAGTGTGGCCCATTGAAAGTGGCAGGTGTTTGATGGTTCACTCAGGTGAATTTACCAGGACTTCACTCTGTGTATTTGTATTTCCTTGAGGAGCATTGGGAGGGTGTGCAGTGTAAGTCTTTAGACTTGTCCTTCTGGGTTGCATCTGTTTCTTACTGCTGTTTCTGTGGCTGTCTAAAACATGAAGTGAACCAGCGAACGCGGCCGTAAGTGCAGTCAGAGGAAGTGGGGAGGGCAGACAGTTGCCCCTAGTTTGACATTCTCCCACTTCTGAATTTTTCGGTGTATGATTTTGAATAAACCATTTGAAGTGGTGATAGCAGTGTCTACATAATTTGATCAGGTAAGTCATAAGAAACGTTTCTTTCTGTGTTTCTACAGGAAGACCAGTGTATTCAGTAGCCTGGGGACCTGATTCTGGAAAAATTCTCTATACTTCAGGAAAGCAGTTGATTATTAAACCTCTTCAGCCAAATGCTAAAGTTTTGCAGGTATCATTAATACATTAAGGTTGTCTCCTGCAGCCATGTTAAAACTTTTCTCAGTTATTTAGATTTTTGGCAAACATAAAGTGTTTGTACTAAAATCTTCCATGAGTACTGCTCATCCCCCTCACCCCCTTTTTAGTTTTGGTTTAGGGTTTTTTTTTTTTCCAGAATAAAGAGTTTGCCCATTTCTCTTTAAAAAAAAAAAAAAAAATCTGCTGTGGATATTCTTCAGGCATGTGATTAAGCATTTCTGTTTTCGTAAATGAAGAAAAAGTGAAAAGATACAGAAGCCTTTCCCTTTTTATTTGTTAAGAAAAGGCAGAAAGATACAGAAGCAAGTGTTTGGAACGTGCTTTTAGTGCAGCTTGTTCTGCTTTTATTCTGCTGTGTCCAGGCTGTATTTAATGTATTTTTCTGCAGAAGAGATGACGTCTGTGCATTTGTATTATTGGAAACCCTGGTCTACATCTGAGTATATGAATGCTAGTAAATGATGCATGATACATATTAAAAATAGAAGTTATCAGAATTATTGCATTTATGTTTATTTTTTTCTGTTTCAGTGGAAAGCCCATGATGGACTTATTCTAAAAACTGACTGGAACTCAGTTAATGATCTTATTCTTTCTGCAGGTGAAGATTGTAAATATAAGGTGAGTACTGTTTAACTTTTTAGGGAAACTAAATGACAAAAAAAATTACTGGGTGTTCTGTCATTTTCTAGTTTTAGTAGTACTTGGAAGTTCAAAATTAAATAAGAATTCTTTCAGTTTTCAAGAAAAAACTTGTTACCCTAAGTTAATGTATCTCACTCTGTCTAGTAACATAAAATCAGATTTTTAATTTTTTTTCTTAATATGGCAGAATGAAAATAGAGTGAAATGCAAGTGAAACAAACTCCAGAAGCAAAATATGCAGAAATATAGAAATGATTACTTGAAATAGTATAAGCTATGATATATACTGGAAAAAGTAATGATATACATAATTAGAGGAGATAGAGCTACGGTTTTCTATTACAGGATTATTAGTGAATCCCTTAGGAAATTTTTTGGTTAGGATGTTCTGTATCCAAAATAGAAAGCACATACTGTGTTTCTTACCTTAAGTAGGAACTTGGTAATTGTATATTGGTTCTAGCATTCTCCAAGTGTATATTGGCTGTGATAAATACATACACAATGAAGAAATTTTAAAAAATTATCAAAGTGTTAAAATCAAATGACTTCAGTCTGTGAGTTGGCTTCCTGGTATTCTGTTGATTTCAATCAGTGAGAAAACCTTGATCTGGAAATTTGCAGAGTTACAAATGTTGGGAAATGAGTGCAAATTGAATAAATGTGGTTATTTTACAGACTTACAGTAATTTGCAAGAAATAAAACCCATTAGTTCAAAATATTTTATACAGAATAACATAATATTCGCCATAGCAGAAAAGTGAAGTCTATTGCATTAAACAAACCAATATTGATTAGAAACAACATGTAATGAAAAGTGAACTATAATGCAGTTTTTGTATAAAACTCTAATAAAATGGTAAAAGTTTTTTCTAGTTCCACTAAAAGGCAATGAAATAACTTAGTGTATTTCTGCAATTTCTATGATCAAGAGGGAAAGTAATAGCTCTAGAATAATGAAAAATACACCCAAACTGTGTTCATATATGTATATATGTGTGTGTATTTTATTTTTTTTTAAAGGTTTGGGACAGTTATGGACGTTTATTGTACAGCTCACAGCTCCATGAGTATCCTATAACATCTGTTGCCTGGGCTGTTGATGGTGAATTATTTGCTGTGGGATCTTTTCATACTTTGCGTCTATGCGATAAAACTGGGGTAAGTAACAGCTCTGAGAAATAGCAGATGCGGAATTGTACGAATTTATTGATAACACAGTGAATATTCTTGATTTATATGGACAGGTGGGTATTTTTATTAGCAAAAACTAGTCATGACTTCCGGCACCTTTCTACTATGTGTATCTGACTAAGTATTGCCTTGATATGCTTAGCTTCACTTCTCAATATGTTTTGGTTTGGATAAAAAATTTTTATAAAATTTTGCTGCTCAGGACATTAACTGTTTCTGTGCATTTTTTAGCTTTTTTCCTTAAAACCCAAAAGAGTTTACAAGCGTGTCATGTAAGGCAATCATAAAATGCAGTTATTAACCATGAAAAGCAAGGAACCTATAACAATAGCCTATCTTTAAAATGGATGCAGAAGAACAATGTCCTGTGCTTTTATTATTTAGATTTTTTCCTTAAAAAATACTAAGTTGACAAGCACATCTCATGAGGAGATCACCAAATGCAGTTGTTAGGCATTAGAAATGACAAGGCTAAAGCAGGAGTAAAAGAGGATCTTAGAGAACATTCATGCTACTTCTGATGTCTAGACAGGGCACAGGTTTTCCAGCTAAAGACATTCTTTAATCCTCTCGTGTGTCTCTATTACTATTCCTCTATTACTGCTAGAGAGAAGAAAGACTCCAAAGGTATCTCCTTTAGTTTCTCTTCTCTCTCTCTCTTTTTTTTCTCTTTTTTTTTAATTAAAATTAACACTGTTTTGTCTACCTTCATTAGTACTCTAAATTTGCCCAGACCACAGATTGACCCAGTTGTCTCTGGGGAATTTCTCGTGGTTCAGCAGTGATTTGTTCAGCCTCGTGTTGCATAGAACCTTGCTGTTTTGGAACTTCTATTGTCCCATTTTCTATCTCTTTTCTTCTTGTCTTTGTTACTGTTTGGCTTACATTGGGAGAACAGTATTTGCTGTGATGTTTTTGGACACTGCAGTCACGATTCTCCTTAGCATGAACTTGGACTACGTGTTTCAAGTATTTTTACATTAGTGAAAAAGAGCCTGTAAAAATTGTGTGAGAAAAGGTGTTCAGGAAAAGACCTCTGAGTCTTCATATTTCATTTCCTATACTGATTCTGATTTCACTGATTTTCACTGGCAGAGTAAGTGTAAGGTAGGCATTAAATTAGAAATGGAGGTTGCTGCTATTTTCTGTGCCTTTTCCTCTTACTTGCTTAGAAAAAATCCTAATGCTACTTCATCTGTATAAGTAAAATTTTATTATAATACTCTTGAAAACAAAAGTACTTGCATGCAATTTTCGTTCGGAATGTATTAATTTTCTGATTTTTTAAAAAGTTGGTTTATTTTAATATCTACATTTTTAATATCTTTATGTTAAAGAGATTTTTGTTAGCTGTGTCTAACAAACACACTGGGAAGTTAGAAAAGTAAAGCAGTGAATAAAATTGGACCCTAAAGCATAAACTTGTGTGAGAGGTTGGATTACTACTCACATAAGTAAAAAAGATTCTGAAATAGATATGAAAATAATGAAGTAAAGAAGATATTTTCTGTCTCTTTGGTATAACACTGGAGAGAAGATTGCAGTTTCCATCCTCAAATGTTCTTCATCATTGAAATTATACTTTTAATTTACTGTTAGATTTGTTTGCATTGGTTTTGTTCAAAATTGGATACTGTTTCTCCTTGCAGAAGAAAATGGAAAAATTGTCTCTTTATGTGCAGTCATAAATAGTTTGCAGTCATGCCTCAGCTGTTAGAGGGTGAACACTGAGATGATTGTTAAATGGTTACATCACCAGTGGGGACACCTCTTCCTCTCCCTGGCATTCTTCTGGCTGAGTTAATGTTAGGCACTGATTGTGGGATTTTTTTACCCATCTTTACCAGCTTGGTGCACCTATCTGCTGATACACCTGCTGCTTTTCTTTGGGAGGGTCCTTTAGGATTTCCTCAAGACTTTTGTCCCTAGGCAAGGTGGATTGGAAGATTTTTCTCCGTTTCAGTACGACACTTAACTCCGCTTATTATGTAATTAAAAAAGCAATCTACCCTGACTGTCACCTTTCCATCTCCCAGGGTAAATATGCTGTTGTACAAGTATTTATATACACATACCATATTTCACCTCATGAAGCCAAATAAAGTATATTTGTGTAAATGTCTATCAGGATAATTACATCTGTGTTGGAAGACATTATGTAACATACACTGGTTTAAACAATCAGACTAGCCATTAGTATTTTCTTGAAACAGCCTTTTAAACCATGCCTTCTTCTTCTACAGTCACTTTCTATCTCCTTTCCAAGTACTGGGATTAGTGTGCTGTATCAGCAAGTGGTAAACTGAAATAAATACACACTTGTATGGGCAAGGCTAGCAATTTAAATTGCATTTTGCACTCAGTGGAGATTTCTGCTTAAATGTGGCAAAGATTGCACATTTAAGGTGCAGTGGAAATGGGAGAAAAATACCAGACTTGGGTGGGGGTTTTTTTGCTGTCATTTATGCTGTTTTGTAACGTATAGCTTGTGATTCTAATCCACAGGGCCTTACTGTTTTTCTTGCTAGTTATTATGTAGTATTATTTACTGTAAATATTTTTCCAGTTCCTGATAGCTGAAAATCAGTAGTTCTTTAATCAGCACTGAATATTGAACAGGCTTGTGGACTTTGAAAATGTTAATGCAGATAGATTTATTTTTTCATAAAACTAAGTGTTCTTTTACCTGGTTTATTAATCAACTTTAAAGAAAGACAGACAGTAGCTAGTGCCAGATGCTTTTGTCTGTTTAGCAGCTACCAATGATAATTTATTATCTTTAAAAGTCATGATTTTTCATGAAAGTTTCTTTCCTGCCATTGAATGTAAATAGTTGCTAAAGAAGTAGCTTTGCTAGTATTGAGGGTAAAGGGGGAATGATTCACATACCACCAGAATGATGGAGTTTGAAGAGAACCAGACCTGACTTTTACTGGTCAACATAGACATTTTTATTATGTCTGATGTAATGGAACTGTATTGGCAAATTGCCCCTCAGGGAGCCATCAGGCAATATATATATATATATATATATATCTATATATCTCATTAACTCTTCTCTAGCATGTGTTCAGTTTGGGAGCATAATTAAATTAAATTCTGTTAGTGTATGTTTTTTCCCCTTTTCTTTCTACCTGAACACTTGGTTATAACAGCTTTGTGTTAAAAAAAAAAAATCCTACAAATCTAATAATCTTTTAGAAATTTTATTTCTTTGTTTAAAAATCACTTTTACTCCAATAGCATTATGTAGGTAAAATAATTATGCCTGTCCTACAGAATATCAAACAAAATATATTTAATGTTGAAATTCATTAACTGCTTTAGTGCCCATGATCATTAATCCTGCCAAGATAGCTAAGGTTAATGTATACATATATTGAAATGTAAAGCTGGATGGATTAATAAATAGACTTAAGCCTTCCTGATGTTCACAGCTTTTCAGAATCTAATCACTTGGATTGGGTGCAGTGCTTAAGAAGTTCATTTATGTAAGCTATTTCCTGTGGCTCTGCATGCTTCCCTTGACATTACTGATCAGGTCAAAATATTTACAGAGTAAGAGATGGTAAGAATGACTGAAATTCAGTGACTCCTCCTTGCCCATTCCACTCACATATAACTATCTTAGATGGACCATACCCATCTGCTCCAAAGACAGGTTGCTTTTCCAGTGCCTTTTAGACTAAAAGGATAATTGATAAAAAACTTTAAAGTGAAACACTGGTGAAATTAATCCTTTTAGAATTGCCAGCAAAAGTTAGTAAATATGAAGATCAAATTTAGTTTTTAATAACATCAAATGCATTGAGGAGGCCTTTTAGATTTTATTCTGTTAATGATTTATTTACCCTTAATGGGGATTGATCAGTTTGATTTGATTTTTGGAAGTTGTTATTTTCCAAATAAATTGTGCATTTCTTGTTGAACATTTTTTTGTCTGATTTTTTTTTTTTTTTCTACAATCTGTTTTCATAAGTTTATGTTTGTTTGACTGTTAAATTTTGTTCTTTGATTTACTTCTATCTTGATTTCATTACTAGGCTTAGCAAATGCTTTGTAGTGAAAGCAATTCTCTGCATAAATCTGTAAATTTATGTTTTTTAATGATTATGCACACTCTGCAAATTTTCTCTTTTATTGCTGAATGAATTGTGAGCATTTTACTAGACTGGTAGTTTGCAGATTTGACAGATTCCGTTGCACATGGTTTTTTATATTCCGTGGCTGTTCCATAGCAAGCCACAGAATATCTAATACCTAATGGTTAAATATCTAATTTTACTAGAAATCCTATAAAAAACATTTGGCAAACTTACTAAATTTAGGGAATATTGCATAATATCTTTGGGAGATAAAACATTCTGCCACCCCATTTAAAACAAGTGTGAGTATGGTGTTACGCCTAAAAAATACTGAATTTTGTGGTCACATGTTTCTGTTCAGCTTTTTCTCAAAAAGATGCAGACTTGAACTTAATGAAAGTCGATTACATTAGTTTGATATCCAGGGTTGGTCATGGTTAACTATTGTTAATATAGTTAACATATTTAGCATGTTATATGTTAAATAGTTAGCAGTGTTTGTCCTTTTTTCCTTATTTTTTTAAAACTATTGACAGATGAGGGAAAAAAAGCATCTAAGAATTTTGAAACTACAATGCAGCAGGTATTTACAGGGAAGCTTTGAAAATAATTTAAGTGTAGCATTAAAGCTGTGATTTTCATTTAGGACAGTAAATTGTGTAACTAATACAAAATTTGTCCTTTAAAATAACGCTAGATATTATACAAATGTGAAAGAGCAAGATTTTAAAAGTGTATATAGGCAGTGCAAGTGTTTTTGTATTACCCTGATAGTGCTGAATTGCCCTAAACTAGAGTACTATGAAACCCCAAGCAAATCTGTTTTCTATTGAGTTACAATGAGCTTTGATCCCATTACATTTAGTTTTAGTCTTTTTCACA